ACCGAAAACGGTCCGAATATTATTGGCGCGTCTACACTGTGACTCCCGCCAGAAATATACGGACCGATACCGGTCCGAATATGTTCATCAGTATATTTTCCCCCACGGAATATATTCAGACCGATATTGGTTCGAATATTTATTTTTTCGGACCGACACGTGTCGGTCCGTATATTATCGGTCCGTATACGTCATTTTTCTAGTAGTGAAAGGTCCATTAATTACCTAGAGGATCCATTGAATACTTCAAGCTTTAAGTTTAGGTCCACTTACTCCATAGTCACAAACCCATACATATATCAAACATATTCAAAACACATCCAAAATAATATAGGAATATCATTTCATTTATTAATTCACTTAAATTTCCACACATTTCACATTGTTTAACCTCCTAGTTAAAACATATATAACATAGCATTTAATCATCCACTTTAGGACTCATATTCAAAGCAATTCATTAATTTCCTAATGCTAGTTCATGCATTCCATCCACAAAATTGAAATTCAGTTCTTATTATAACAAAGCAATTAATACATGAAAAATCATCAAAAACTCAAGTGCCCAAAGCTATAAACAATGCTCAAAATTTCTAATAAATATCTAGATTTTGTTTAATCATGTTAGTCCCTAAGAAATCATCATGTTAAATATGTTGGGAAACACCAAACAACAATAGCAAATTATTAAACAACAAAATTCACATTATATTTAAGCATGAAAATAAAACCAATTATAGAATCTATCCCGTATAACCTCAAAAACAACATATATTTCTAACTAAATTTTAATATCTAAAAAGCCTCTTAAACAAAGGATTTAAGGTTAAATTTCACTAATTCAAACTAATTTTTAGTATATATTATAGCAAATTTATAACCTACCCAAAACTCTAACCTAAATCCATAACTAAAACTCTACTTACCTATGAAAATTATAACACCAAGTTGAAGCAGATAGTAGAAATTGAAAGGGAATCCAATTGAAAAGTGTGTCCTTATGTAGCTCTTGCACTCACTCGGCTAAAATAGAGAAAGTGAAGAGAATGGATATTTATCAGAGATAAAGTCTTTTAAAAGGCTTTTAAGTCAAAGATGATTTTGTTTCTAAAATCTTACACTAGAAGCCATGGGTCTTTCACAATTTTACAAGATAAGACACTTAGTCAGGATGTAGCTACATCACCTAGTTTGACTAATATAATTGGATGGTTTTCAACTATTTTAAGATCTCCTATAAAGCCCACATACTCTATATCTAATTGATTTGGTTCTCAACACTTTAAAATAAAGTACTTTAATTATAATTTATTCACTAAAGTATATGATGTGTTATAGAACCTCTTAACTAAAACTAAGGTTCTTGAATTGGGGGATGTTAGTAGCAGAAATGAGCCTTGCTTGGTTGTTAGTTTGCCTAGTACATATAGAGAGAACCAAAGGGCAAGTTGTTAGGAAGTGTTTTTGAGTATATCCAAATCAAGTTTCTCCTTTTCTCAGTTTTTGCATGGTTAAATGGAATGAGCAATGGTGTTTGAGTATGTCCTCAATGAAAACTTGCAATATATGATAAGCTCAAACAGTATTCCTAAGAGTTGGAAACAAATTTGGCTTTGTAAATGAGGTGAAAGGAAGGAAATTTACCTACTTGGCATATTTTGTAAATTTAAAGGGACATGGAGATTAATTTAGTGAATATCTAGGCTAATATATATATATATATATAATTTTTTATGTATTACTTAACTTATTAAAGGGACACACATCTTTGCCAATGTGTTAAAAAGGTGGAGTGCAATTGCCACATCAACCAAGTTGGAAAAAAATAGGTCAACTAGGCTCACACCATTGCAATTAGGATAAAACTAAAATGTAAACATCCTTTTAATGAAGAGATGAGGCCTGCACCTTTTAATAAAAACATGATAACTACTTATTTTAGTAGTTAAATTTGGCTTCTTTTTCCAATTTAAAAATTTAGGATGACAAAATATATCAATAATTATTTTAAGAGGTAATTGGCTTCAAGTTAATAATTTTGAAAGGTAATATGCACCTTTTGCCAATGACACAACATTTGTTTCCCAACTAATGAAACCTTTAATATGTTACTTAACCAAACCATTATATGAAGATAAAATTTAATGTGAGCAATATAGAGAATCAATTAAAAATAGAAGGAAAAGAGGGCTTTCATCTTTGGACTACTATTTGAAATTTTATTGAGTTTTTTCAGATACCATGTTTATTATTCTTTCAAATGTGTCCTACAAATATAACTGAAGAAAAATGAAATTTTATGAAGTGTATGGCTCATTAGAGATCAATTGAATAAAAAATGTAATACTTGCAATAACAAAATATGAGAAGAGAGTCAAGGAGTATAAAGCAGTGGAATGATAGCGAGATAAAGCTTAACCAAAATTTAAGAGGGGCCTAAAACATTTTCTTATTATATAAATTTAATATAAATTATAACTTATATATATAAAGATGATTAAAGATGAAATATAATATTATAAATTAAATTATTTCTGTTGCTTAGATATAAGACTTAAAGGTGAAATTTTAACTAACAAAAGAATAATTGAAGTTTATGGTGTCATGAAAAAAATTATAAGTTTTATTTATAATTTAATAATAATGAAATAAAATTGTCTATTAACATAAAAGATGATACTATGTAATTAAATTATTTCATTTATAAAGTGAGCATTATAGCTAACTTATGAATTATATACAACTGATATTTTCAGAAAGTGAAAAATCAAATTATCTTTTTGGTTCTTAGAAATTCAAATTATTTAATTACTTAAAAAATTAATAATGTAAGAAAGATAAAAATAGACTTAATAGAGTTTTTTAACTGACACAAAACATAACATCTCCATTATAAAGAGAGGAATGAATGATGAGATGAGTAAAGTTTGGCTCTAAAAATTTTATAGCTAGTTAGAGGTTTTAAGAACTACTTTTATGATTTTCTTTTAAAAAATGGGTGTTT